AGAAGAGCAGTTTATTATCTAAAACTTTTCTGTCTTGCTAGGATCCCCCTTTCCTGGGCCTCTGGCTAGGGAAGCCAGCTTTTCTTGGGGCTCTTTTGTCTGCACCTGCGGTGTTGGCTTCTCCAACAGCCCATTTGGGATATGTGAGGCCAAAAGAAAACCCAGGGGATTCATCACCTTGTCATTCCTAGCTGGCCTGCCTTCTTCTCTCCATAAGAGTTGTCTTGTGTTTGTTTATGTGTAATGTCCAGGGCGCTTAGATGTACTCAGCTGGAAGAATAGGGAGGAGCGTGTCTATTCCATCTTGTCGAGGAACAGAAAGTCTGCCCAATGTCTGTGGAGGTACCGGCAGCAGAGAACTGGTTTGTGGTAACTCACTCAGGACCTTTTTGATTTTTTAATGTATCTGCCAGGTGGCGACCTGTCTCCACTGGAACTGGCTGATGTGAATGGAGACGGCCTGCGTGACGTGCTTCTCTCCTTTGTGACATCGAGGAATGGGAGCGCAGTAGGTAAGAGCGTGTCTCTGCACGGCTGCTCCAGGGGGACTGTCAGCTAGGAGAAGGCATAGAGGTGTCTCCCGAGGGGCACTGCAGAGGGGTTTGCAGTGGACAGAAAGTTCCTGTGGATCTGTCGTACACGATAAGCCTGATCAGAAAGTTCCTGCATGGAAATAAAGCTCAGTTCAAGAAACAGTTACAGCTGGAAAGAACTTTCAGTGGTCGCCAAGGATGGTGAAGAAACTGGGATCCAAAGAGGAAGTGACTTGCCCGCACGCCTGTAGTGACATCGTTGGTACTTAGGTTTTATGATTTTTCTCCCGGTTTTCCACTGCCTCTTCGATTATAATGAATGTTCACTCTATCCTACCCACCCACTCCTGGCAGAAAACGCCTGTCCCTGTGTTTTGTACACATCTTTGCACACACACCTCTTGGCTGGGGGCTTCCCTTCCCCCTGCAGTTTACTCTTCCAGATCTGCCCTCCATCCTGCTGTCTGTGCTGGGAGGCTGGCCTGTGTGGGTGAGGTCACAGCCCCCGGCCTGCTGGCCACCTTCCCACTGGGCTTGACCCACAGCGGGGCACAGGAGAGGAACTGAAGGAGATAGAGTTCGAGGAGGGACATTTATTCCCCTGGCTCCCTCCCCACTGAGGTCACTGAAGTATGGCTACACCCTTGACCGTGGGTCACAGCTCGTTTCAAGGTGGTCCTCTTAGAGGACTTTCTTTTTCTAGATCCCAGTGATTGCTTCCTCCTCTTGTCTCTTTGGGCCTGGAAGCAGTAACAGTTCTGAGGGACTGTTCTGTCACTTGTGGTGTCCCTACACCCTGGCCACATCTTTGTAAATGGTCTCCTTGTTAAACCTTCCACAACTTACCCTAATTGAGGGTGCTGTTTCTGGAAGCCCAGCTGTTACACATGTCAACTGCAAAAAAAAAAAAAAAAAAGAAGTAAGAAAAATTATTTCATTTTCAGCATAGGTACACAGGCTTTGGGTGTGTCCTGCAGCCTCCACTAAAGTAGAGTCGAAATGCAGTCTGTAAGCTGGTACAGGGACTCCAGTTTGAGGCTGGAGATGCCCTGGTAACTACTTTTTATTATAAATCATTTAGGTCCTGGGGCCTAGGTATGCTTTAGAGAATCCTAAATTGCACATCTCTTTGACATTATTAGAAATGACTTTCTGAGTCTGGGTGAGATATAGAAGCAGTCTGGGCAGAGATGTGTTACACAGAGAATCTCTGGCCTAGCAGTAGATTTTCATATAATTGAAACTTAATTACATTTTTTCCTGCCTGTGACTTTTGAAGTAAAAATTTCCCCATCCACTTTTAGATTTAGAGATGTTTTTAGTCATTTGGTATCTTACATGGTTTGCTGCGTATCAAGACTCGTAATGGTAAGGCCGTGGGCCGGGACACAATAGGGACCAGCCTGATTTGGCCACAGATTGTAAAAACAAGAATACAGCTAACATATGGTGCTTTCTATGTGCCATGCGCTGTGGTAAGCTCAGCACATATATGAACCAATTTATCCCCAACACAGTCCTATGAGGTAGGCTAATATTATTATCTCCCTTTTGCAGAGGAAGGTGTTCAGACGTACTGAGGTTAAGGAACTTGACATGTTCCTAAGCCTCATGCCTAACTGCCGTGCCCATAACCCACAGAGCTCTGTGCCACTGGACTTAAGAGGGATTGAGTTTTTTATTTGTGTGTTCGCTTGTTCCTCTGTTCATTCAACAACTGTGCATCGAGTGCGGCTGTGTGGCGGGCGCTGTGCACCTTCTCTAGAGTTGCGCTGGTTACACACCAGGGCTGAGCAGGCGGGCCTGTGCCTCAGAGAGTTGTGGTTAACGCATCACCACCCAGGAGAAAAGAGTCTGAGCATCGATACAGAGTCGCTAGGGTCCTTGAGGAGGAAGAACAGCGTAGGATATTACCCACAGTATCCTGCAGACGTCTGGAAGTTTACATGTTACCGCTGTTGGTCATAGGTATCTACTTCTGGCAATGGGTCTGGAATGGTGAGCCACAGTTTGTCACTTGTTTTTAGGTCGTATATTTAATCAGTAATACTGAGCAATAGGTAGAGGGAAGCTCTGAAACTTTCGTTTCCTTATCTGTGTTAGTTGTTGCTGGAAGTGGAAAGTGCACAAGATGAGTCAAGCAGTCCCTGTCCTGAAAGTGAATGTAAAACTGGCAAGAGAGAAAGTTGTGATTCTGACATGCGAATCAAGTGGCATAAAGGCTTATTTACTACAGAGATGGCTACTCTAGTCCCTTACCAGCTATCCTTGGACCCAGGTATTAACTCTTCCTGAGTATTCTTTCCTGACGGGAGCCAAATCAACTGATTCCGTGGAACTCTGGACCAGCAAGACCTACTGATCATTGCTACATGTAATCTTCAGGTTATTTTTAAAAAATATTCTTTTTCTGCTCTCAGGGAGCATTTGCTAGCGATGACTAAAATGCAGGTATTTTGCTCCGTGCTCTGCACAAGTACTAGATCAGTCTCCTGTTTCCAAACATACTTTTACCTTCTGGTTTTGTTCTTGATGACTACTTTTTCATATTCTTGATTTTGCTCCTGTCTTTTCTTAGGCAAACGATTGGTTGCTATAGGTGTGAGGTACTTTGCAAGGCACCGAGGATGCAGGGGTTAGCGAGATAGTCTTTCTCCTTTAGGATGCCACTATTTAGTGGAGGCCGAGGCGGCAGACGTGTAAGCAGAGGTGTTAGGGAAGGTACAGAAGTGGAGATGTGTTCGAGGCAGTCGAGGAGGCCACAGCTCTTGTCTTACGTGAGAAGCGTGTTGAGCAGGAATGACAGGCACTGTGCGTTCAGACCTTGTTGCCAGAAACGTGGGCGGGAGCTGGATACACGAGTGTGCGTCGCCGCCGTACCGCCATCCATGTTTGGTTTTCTGGCCTCCTGCTCAGCTCTGCCTCTTATCTCCTCTGCCTGCTCTCTTCTCTTATCTGTCTTGTGTGCTTTTAGGTGTCTCAGGACCAGCTGCTAATCTTATGTGCCTTTCGGGGATGAATGGCAGCACCCTGTGGTCGAGTCCCCTCCCCGAGGAGGCCCGAGATATCACGTGCTTGGACCTGGTGCCAGGAGGTTCGGCTGGAACCGTCTGCCTGGTGACAGGAACTCACAAGATGCTCAGCGCATTCAATGCGACGTCAGGTAGAGACCACGGACCACAAAATATCTTTGCTCCTGTGAGCCATGATTTTGGATTAGAACAACCCAGCGGGAAAGGGAACTTCCTACTCTCACATAGTAGAGAGTCTGATTTACTGCTCTGGAAGGTTGTTATTAAGGGAAATAAGAGACATGATTTGGACAGATTGAATAAATAGATCCATGGTTCATCGTGCTTGGTGATAGGATGGGGCTAAACTGAGTTGTCCAAACAGAAACTACCCTGAGGCCTTGGGTGTGTAAATAGTCTGCCTACTCTGTTCTTTGTACAAAAGACAAGTGAGCTCTGTCTCTTCATGTTTAATATACACGAGTCCATGTATATTAAACTTGGACATTAGCTATTTATTTATTAAATAAAAATACGGCACTGAAGAAATTGAGCTTTGTTGAGGCTTATTGATTTGACCTTTTAGCTTCTTATTGCATTCAGACATACAAGACAAAAGGAATGAAAAAGAACTATAATGCAAGCCCCTTACAGAACCTAAAGTGTACTGCTGATATGCTTGGTACCACCCTGGACCATGCGCTCAAGTGCAGCTGAATGAATAACATCCTTCGTAGGATTAGAGGGTGGAGTTTGTTAGTAGGGTACTTCTGAGTGAAAAAAAATAAAATTGGGATATGAGTTAACTCTAGAACCAAAGTCATCTTGAAAACCTCCTACAATTTCTCTAGTGCTTACTTCTGTGAACATGTGGGAGAAGGAGGGAGAGTGGGTCTTCTGGTCGCTGCCCCTGGACGGTTCCCTAATAGTTGTAATAACCTCTAACAGGTCAACTCTCCCACCCTGGACAAGTGAGCTCTTCTTTCTTGAAAAGACTTTGGCACCTCCATTTTTTGTAAAAAATCTAGGTGTGAAGTTAGCACACGGATTTGTTAGCCAGATAGTTGAGGATTTCAGACCACACTCTCTGTTCCTTTCCTCCTCAGTAAGATAAAAACTAAAGGAAAAAATAAGTAGGAGTTGCTGTCTGTCGTTCAAACAGCATTGTGCTTCTCTCTGTTGGCTTGGGGACGTCGCATCTGCCTTTTGCAGAGGCAGAAAGCCGTAGCAGTGATCAGCCTACTTGTCCTTCCCTAGGGAAAGCCATTTGGACTTTAAACTCAAACTACTTGTCCAACGGCACCTTGGCTGCCCCGGTCGTGGTGTTGCCAGACTTGGATGAAGATGGCGTTAGAGATCTTGTGGTTCTGGCCATTGGAGAATTGCAGGTATGATCTCTATGAAATGGTGTTTGTTTCTTCTAGGGAATGCTTCTATTTTAGTTATCTCAGTTCCTAGTGTTGTTGTTATCATAAATGCTGCTTGAAACTTTCTTTCTTTTTTTTTTTTATTTCAGCATATTATGGGGGTACAGATGTTTAGGTTACGTATATTCCCCTTGCCCGCCCCCCAAGTCCGAGTTTCAAATATGTCCATCCTTCGGGTGGTGCCCATTGCACTCTTTGTGTATGCATATACCCCCTCCCCCCTCCTTCCCCCTCCCCCCTGCCCAACATCCAATAGATGTTATTCTTATATGTGCACTTATGTGTTGATCAGTTAATACCAATTTGATGGTGAGTACATGTGGTGCTTGTCTTTCCATTCTTGGGATATCTCACTTAGTAGAATGGGTTCCAGTTCTATCCAGGAGTATGCAAGAGGTGCTATATCACCATTGTTTCTTAAAGCTAAATAGTACTCCATGGTGTACATATACCACATTTTATTCATCCAATCATGTATTGATGGACACTTGGGTTGTTTCCACATCTTTGCAATTGTGAATTGTGCTGCTATAAACATTCGGGTGCAGGTGTCTTTCTCATACAGTATCATTTGGACTTTTGGGTAGATGCCCAGTAATGGGATTGCTGGATCGAATGGTATTTCTACTTGTATCTCTTTAAGATATCTCCATATTGCTTTCCACAGAGGTTGCACTAGTTTGCAATCCCACCAACAGTGCATGAGTGTTCCTATCTCTCCGCATCCACACCGACATTTATTGTTTTGGGACTTTTTGATAAAGGCCAGTCTCACTGGAGATAAGTGATATCTCATTGTGGTTTTAATTTGCATTTCCCTGATGATTAGAGATATTGAGCATTTTTTCATATGTTTTTTGACCATTATTCTGTCTTCTTTTGAAAAGTTTCTGTTCATGTCCTTTGCCCACTTTTTGATAGGGTCGTTTGATTTTTTCTTGTTGATTTTCCTGAGTTCTAAGTAGATTCTGGTTATCAGCCCTTTATCGGATTTGTAGCATGCAAAAATTTTCTCCCATTCTATAGGTTGTCTGTTTGCTCTTGTGACAGTTTCTTTTGCTGTGCAGAAGCTTTTTAATTTGATCAGGTCCCATTTATTTATTTTGGTTGTTGCTGTGATTGCCTTTGGGTCTTCTTCATAAATTCTTTGCCTAGGCCAATGTCTAGAAGAGTATTTTCAACATCTTCCTCTAGAATTGAAACTTTCTTTTTATAAAGTCTTAGATTTAAGTAAATTCTTTTTGTAAGATTAAGTGAATAAGTGACTATTATGAATCTGTTTTTCCCAGCAGTCTCACTATGGTTCCATGTACTGTGGTGGTGTAAGGAGCTTTGTAGCCAAACAGGTCTGTGTGTGAATTCCTTGGTAGCTTTGTGGCTTTGGAGCCTATTCAAACTCTGGTTTTTTCATATGTAAAATGGGAATGTTATATGTAGGATTGTTATGAAAATTAAAGCAAACATTTAAAATGCCTAGAGTGGTGCTTATTTTTTACCATGTATATGTGTTGTTAATTTTACTATATTATACATATTTAAACTTTATTTCAATTATAAAACAGTGGGACAGACTGATAGAAAGTTCGTAAAATATGTATAGAAAAAAATCAAAGTCAAACAATAATAACAACAATGAGCAAAGAAAGGAGAGTTGTGATCTAGGCTGTGACATGCCAGACATTGATTCTAGGACAGTGGCCTTTGAATTATGGCTCCAGAGTATGCTTTGCTGAAACTTCAGTATGTTATCAAAAACTCAGACACTTGTCCACAAGGCTGAATCAGAAGAATGAGGACAAGCGGTTTGGGGAGGAAGGAAAGAGAGTTTACTTTGCTGACAAAGGAGGAAAAATGGGAGACCTTCTCGTCTCAAAATCCCTAATTTCCCCAACATAGACAGAATACAGAGCTTTTAAAGGGAGGGTTCTCGCTTCAGGCAATTACTGTGGTTAACTATTCTGATCCTCCCATCTCTGCCAAAGATATAGCCTGTGAACTCCCACAGCCGCCCACTTGGGGAGCTGGCCACCTGGGAGTTTTAACAAAAGACTTAACCTGCCTCAGAGACGCAGGCCAGGCTGCAGTTCACAAAAGAGTGGGGGGGATTTTAAGGAGACAGAAAATCTCTTTGCTATTTTTTTTTCCCTCCGGCCATTCCCTCTGTTAGAAGTACACTGGAACTAGTTATTCTGTATACAGATAAAATAAGAGTAGTCTTTCCACCAAATCACAGGAAAGACTAAATTAATGAATAGAATTGTCTTAATTTTAAGTTTTTATTCCTGAAGCTTTTCTCAGAGCTTTTGTCAAAGTTTCTCTAAGACTTTTCTCTCAGGCTTCCTAGTGTGAGTCTGCCAAGGAAATGCTTCTGCACAAGAGAATTGAACAATGGGCAAAGAATGTTTGTGGAAAAATGTAGAGCTTATTTTAATTTTAATAGACATTATGTTTGTTCTTGTGATTTTTGTGTTGCATATATGGAGTAGAGTTATAAATTCTGCAGGTAAAATTAGGTAGAATGGAATTAAGTCTGTTAATATTTTGTGACTTTCTTCCAAGAGCACCACAAACTTGAAATGCTCCACCAATCACAAGTCGTGAGAAGCACTGCTCCAGGACACAGGCGATGCTTGTGTTTGTTTGTGAGAGGAGAGGAAAGAAGATTGAGAATAAGCTAAATTTCTGAAGGCTGCTTAGTTTTAAGGGTCCTTTCTGTTAGTTTTCTTCAGGTAGCCAGTTGGTCTCAAAGTGGACCTGAACCAAGAGTTCAGGAATTATCCACGTAATTTTTTTTATCCCAGATATTGTGAATAAGGAGACTAGGGACCAAGGACAATTGCAGTTATCACCTCCAGCAAGAAGTGATTGTCTGAACGTCCTAAAGGGAAAGTTTGGGGAGTTTCTTTTTAATGGCATTACAGTCAGCAGAGGTATTGAACAAGTTTACATATCCTGAACAAATTTAAGAATCTTGGTCTTACAACCCCATCTGGCTTCCTGTGAGCTGGCGGTAGGTGGTGGGATAGTGGTTCAGGCCCTCAGGGACCCTCCGTAGTAAGGAGGTCTCTGTTAGAGGAACTGGCTTCTTGCCTTCTCTTCTTCTGTGCCCTTTTTTTTGGTCTCTACCTAGTATATTGCTCATCTTGCCTCTCAGAATTTACTCTTTTTCACAATAAGCTTCAGGTACCGAATAGTCTCCATTCTGTCTGAAAAGTGATAGATAGTTCTAGGAAAATCTTGCAGAGGTGATGGGTGTATAGCAGCAGCTTCAGTCTTTATACTTTATACTCTTTAGACCTCTATACCAGCAACAAAGAACCCAAGGAATTTGTTTGCGCCCCTGAGATGGAGGGCTCTCTCTTCACAAGGAAGAAAACATACTAAGTCTTTGACTTGGAGTGATTGCATTCTTAGATCTGGGTTTAGAGTGAGGTGGGCTTGGAGAACTGGTCCTCGCTTCAGATTAGAGGAACTGAGCTGGGCTAGAACATTAGTGGGAGGGACGCTGAAAGCTGTGAGGTTAACCTCCTCGCACCATGCCGTGGTCTCTGACTCAGCATTCCAGATACACTGGCACCGTGCTCTCCTGGAGTACTCGGGCTGATGGGAACGTCACTAACGTGAAGCAGTTCATTTCATTTTTGGTCAGCTCTAGAAAATTCTGTCCTATTGATGAGAAATCTGCTTTCTCACAGCTTCTGTTCATTGTTCCAGCTTCAGTCACATAGAGTTACTCTGAATGGGTCTAATCCCCTTTCTGTAAAAACACCCTTTAACTGTTAGCCTGGTTCCTCTAAGCCTGCAACTGTCCAGGCTAAACACCCCAATTTCTTCTGTTCCTCATGCAACACGAAGTCCAAACCCCTCTTTTTCTTGATTTCTTTCGTTTTGTACTCCAGTTTTTCCAAGTCTCTTTTAAAATGTGGTACCCATATCAGAAAGCAGTATTTTATTCATAGTCTAACCAGTTATATCAACCTAAGGAAATTATTACTCCTTTTGATGGAGACTCTGTATTTCTACTTTTTCAGCCAAAGGTTGCAATAGCTTTTCTAAGATTTGCTTTTTGTATGTAATCAGTTAAAACACCCATATCTTTTAATTAATCAATTATTAATAGACCAATTTCTTCTGGCAGATTTTGACTCGTCTAGCCTAAGGCCTTTTTGAATTTTGAGTTTGCTATATGGCATTTTATTCCTCTCAGCCTTGTGATAAACTTGAATTCTATTCATTCAGGTCTTTGATAAGAATGTTTAACAGGAATGGGGCAATAGCAGAGTACTATGACATTCCACTAAAAACCTCCCTCTAGGTTGTATTGACTCCATAAAGTTTCTTTTTCTGGGTATACTACAGACCACCTTTATGTTGTCCATAGAATTCTGATAATAAACTTTGTCAAAATCTTTACTGAAGTTAAGAGATAGATACAATCTCGTATTTCCCAACTGGTGACTCTATCCCCAAAAGAAAATCCTCTAGAGCCGAGGTTGGCAAACTATGAACCATAGGCCAAATTTGGCCCACTGCTTATTTTTATAAATAAAGTTTTATTTAAACATAGTCACACCTATTCATTTATGTATTGTCCATGACTACCACTTTCACACTAGAACAGCTAAGTAAAGTAGTTGCTACAGTGATCATCTGGCTGGCAAAGCCTAAAGTATATACTACTGTCTGGCCCTTGAAGGAAAATGTTTGCCCATCTCTAAGAGTCAAGTTGATAGTGGCCTGGCCAGACATCTGATGTTCTAATGGGAGAACACTGCCTGGGTTTATTCTAGCTGGGACCAAATATTACTGGGGATTTCTGGGTATGGGAGTAAAGACTCCTATAGAGCCATCCTGTATCTAGCTATAGGCAAGGACTCTGCCCCAGGAGACTGTTCAGTCATCAGCAATTGTGCTTCAGAGAAACCGAGGTACCATGAAGATGCCCTTTGCATATATTTAGTAAGGGAATGGGAAATAAAGTAAGGGAAATAATGTGAAGCTTGGTGCTTTCCAACTTTTTGGAAGCATTTCAGAACCGGTAGTTAATGAGAAAAACTAAGAACTGTCTGGAGAAGCCATTTGATGTGGAAATGATGGGGCTTCTATTGAATGCACCCCTTTCTTTCACTTCCTCAGCCGGATCTGTGCTTTCTGCTGGTGTCTGGCCAGACAGGAAGTCCACTGGGCCGACCTGTGAAGTACAACATCGTGGGCGTTGGGAATCTGATTGGTCCCCAGGTTTACATCACCACAAATGGGGCTGTCTACATCCTGTTTGGCTTTGGTAAGAAGCAAGGCTTGTTTTCCTTCTGTTCCCCACTGGTGCATGTGTTTCGGCCTCCCTTGTGAAACAGGCTGAGAGCTCAGGAATTGCTGACACCTGCCCTTCCGAAGCCCCCCACTTCAGGGGCCTCCCACTCTCCCCCACCTATTGCAGGTGATTCACTCTGCTTTCCCTGGATGCCTCCCCTAAAGAGAAGACTCTGTCCAGCATCCGCGTCATCACTCCCCCACTCATTCCATGTTGGGCTAGTCTGAGCGGGCTCTGCTGGACCCATCTGCTCAGGCTCTGTGTCTCTTGCTCACATCCTCACCCTGGGATAGTTCTGTCAAATTCAGCTTCTCAGTGTTGGTTCTTCCTGTGGTGCTAGGAAATATACAAGCTGTCGCCCTGCGGGACATTTTTGTTCAGGCCCAAAATCGAGACAGCTCACCACCTTCTCTGCAGATAGAAGAGCCAGAATGGGAGAAGCGAAGATCCATCAACCTGTCTGAGCTCATTGACGTGTACAGGTAGGGCAGACGTCTGTCCCTGGTCACAGTGAGGTCTCCTGTAAACTCAGGTGCCTTGGAGTCTCTCAGTTTGGTTGGGTTGGTGGATAAGTGGGCAGAGGTTTGGGAGAGACAGTGCTAGCCTTGATATACCCTCTTGTGGTCTGGTTAACATGAATGAGAAATTTTCTTCTCTTGATAACTTAATGCATTGATATCTATGCGTTGGTGACCATCATGTGGGATCATATCACACGTAGGCTGCAAGGAAGGATGTTTCTTTGGAGTTCTGAGTCCAGGTGGGTAGGGAGACAGCTTTACTTGACTGTTGTGAAATTGTGCTGAGGATCTGACCTACTTGATCTGACCTACTATATTTTCTCTTAGTTGAAGCATCATTTTGACAGAAGCAAGGATAGCATCCATGAAATCTTATTTTTGATTCTTACTTCCTAACTAAAAGCATGTAGTTTGGTCATATGCAGTAGGTTTTACCCATTTAACCCCAAGCCTGGGCAATAATTTTTTTTTTTCTATCAGAAATTACAAATCATTTTCTAGCATTTTCTTAGGCAGCATCATGTTGTTTTGGTGCATGTGACCGGTATTAAATAGCATGGTCCCTGTGGTACAGAGAAAGAAAGAATTCAGTGAAGCATATGCCAGGAGCTGCTGCTCAAGCTTGTTGACAATTTCAGGGCTCCCGTCCAAATCTCCTTCTGTCTTCCCTGCCGTTATCCTTGGCTCTGTTACCTTTCTCAGAGCATCCAGTGTGAGAGGCATTGTACCATAGCACTTTCCCTGTGAGTTCCTGTTGAACTGGCATGCAGTTTTCTAGGGATCCTTGGTTTCTAACGGTCAAGAAAATAAGATTCAACTGGAACGCCCGAGTACCCCACTTGATAACAGTGGGACCTGAATTACAAGACTATGTACAAATGTGTGCACACTGAGAGAAAAAGCCAAAATAAATGGCTCAGGAGTCTCATCTGGGCCAGAGACTAACTGCTGGGATCTTGTTTAATTCAGTGATGGTGTCGAGCTGCTCCAGATGGTGAAGGCACCAGATTCCAACTGCAGCAACCTTCTGATTACAACCAGACAAGGCCTCGTCCTGCTCCGGGGGCAAAATCTTACACCCTACTGGACATTGAGCCTTCAAGGCCTGCACAGGTTTGCAGCACGCTCCCTCTCGTGTGTGCTGTTTTGGTCACTTTTCCATGTTTAAAAGTTGCCTAGAATGATTGCTTGGTATGTGGGGTTGATGCGAGAGAAGGGAGGGAAAGAGTTCCGAGTTTTCCTGTTTTTCTCATTTGCTGAGTGCTTGCTTTTCCTTGTTTGCAGCCAGCCTACGCCTGGGTATTTCACGGATGATCACAGGTTAGACTTCCTTCTGCAGATACAGGATGGAGTTGGGATGAAAAAGGTAAAATTCGGGGACTCAAATCAATCAAAACATGTGTAAACTATATACTTTGTGTCCAGTCTTGTGCTAGGCACTATGAGGAATAAAAAGAACCTAAAATGTGGTCTCTTCCTTCAAAGAACTCAAAGGCTACATGAACGGACAAAACAAAAACCCACCGTTCAATGCTATAATATATAGCAGTGGGAATTTCTCTAGGATAATGTCCTTCCTGTACGGGAATTCCTTCTTCTGGACCCCTAACTCACAGTTAATAGTAGGAGCCTTCTGAATTCTCCTGGTGGGGAAAGGCAGGTGGAAATAAATGCAACACGGCAGTTTACGTATATACCTAAGACTTCAGGGAAGGCAGGATATCCGTGGTGGCTGGGTTTTTGTGGAAGACTTCATACAGGAGGAAAACATGAGTTGAGCCTTTAAAGCTGAATTGCATTTATGTGGCCAGGAATGTGTGCCGGGTCAGGAACACCAACAGCAGCGGCCCAGAGATAGAAATGGTGTGGCATGTTCCAAAGACACCCAGTAGATCTTTATGATTTTACATGAGCTTGCATATTGTGAAGATATAATAATTGGCTTGACCATTTTCATTCCTTTAACGTTACAGGCAGAATTACAGAGTTTTAAAAATCTCTTTTTTAAAAATCGCCCTGAAGGCCGGGAGTGGTGGCTCACGCCTGTAATCCTAGCTCTCTGGGAGGCCGAGGCGGGCGGATTGTTTGAGCTCAGGAGTTCGAAACCAGCCTGAGCAAGAGTGAGACCCCGTCTCTACTAAAAAATACAAAGAAATTAATTGGACAACTAAAAATACATAGAAAAAATTAGCTGGGCACGGTGGCGGGTGCCTGTAGTCCCAGCTACCTGGGAGGCTGAGGCAGGAGGAAGATCGCCTGAGCCCAGGAGTTTGAGGTTGCTGTGAGCTAGGCTGACGCCACGGCACTCTAGCCCGGGCAACAGAGTGAGACTCTTGTCTCAAAAAAAAATAAAAAATCGCCCTGGTGTTTTGGTTTATCTTCACCATGAAATACATATCGATACATTGCACACCGTTTTCTGAGAGAGAAAGAATCGAACGCTCATTCCGTCATCACCTTTATGTGTGCCAAGTTCTGCGCTAGATGGGGAGACACGAAATTAATGAAGGCAGGGCCTCTGCACTTGTGTAGCTCTAGGTCACTGGGGCACCTAGACCGCACAGCTCTACCACGTCATGGAAGGTGCTATTGTGGAGGTTTGCATACACTGGGAACACAGGGAGCAGATAGAATGCCCACAAGCTGGAGGGCCAGGGAGTCTGGAGATGCCTCCTGTCAGTCAGGGATTGTGTGTGCAGCATCATGAGAACCGAGAAGAGGTTTGTGGAATGGATGGATTAGGGTGGACTGAGCTGCATTTCCGCTAGAGAGATCAGAATGAGGTCAGCTTACAGAGGGCCTCGAAAGCAAGGCTGCAGAATTTGCATGAGGTGTTGGAGGCGGTATGGTTGTTTGGTCACGGACAGAGGACAGATCCAGTAATACAAGCATCACTTCAGGAAGAGTCTTCCTGCAGTGCTATATGGGAAAGAAGCAATGTCTGCCCATAATTCAAAGGAATCTCAGATACAAATTGGAATTTCCACTGGTTTACCTGGGAGGATTAAGCGAGAGAGTTGGTTAAGAACCAAGATACTGAGAGTATCAGCCCTGGGTTTTAATCCTGGCACCACGACTTATTGGTGACCTTGGGCAAATTGTATAATCTCACCTCGCTGCAGTTTCTGAATTTATGAAACATAGATAATAGTATTGCCTGCCTTCATTGGGTTATTGTGACAGTTAAATGAATTATTATATGTGTGTGACTGGATAAAACTTTTTAGTGTGGTGGCTCTAGATTTCTTTTCTCCCCAGGACCACCAAAGGGAATCTTAAACTTTGAGTCTGTATTCTCCTCTCCACTCATTCGCAGGAGTTTGTCTCTGCCAAGTTGGTTCCAGGACCTTTTGTGATGTGCAGTTTGAGCCAGGGCAGGGAAGGGCAGGGAAGGGCAGGGCTCAGGAAACGGAAAGAACAGGGCAAGTGCAAAGAGGTTACAGAAGCACAGCGGCCCTGAGGGGAGAGGGAGCAAAGGCACCTGGGCTGGAGGGGGTGCAGGGGGAGCTTCCTGGGGATTTGGGCAAATGGAAGGTCCTAGACCTAGGAGGTGAGAGGTGTTTTGGGGCAAGAAGCAGATGTAAACGCTGTTGGCCCCTTCATTAGCCTTAGAGAGATGCAACTAAGGAACAGAATTCCTGTTATTTTTCTGCCTGTTTAAACTGTACCTTTAAATTTGAGACTACCCTAGGGATGAACTGCCCATGCCGTGACATCAAGAGTCAAATCCATAGAGCTCTTAGGAGGGCGCACAGGGCAGTGTTCACTTCATCCTTGTTTCCTGAGTGGTTGCTGCAGTTGTGGGAGTTGCAGGGGGCAATGAGGTGCTGCAGTTGGCATCTGTGGAGTGGCTGCTCCCTCTGAGGACTGTCCTAACCATGGGCAATGCACGTCACTTTCCATCTCTGCGCCTCCTTTCCTCATCTGTCAGATGAGGGGGCCTAGAGGATTTGTAATGTCCCTTCCCACTCGAGACCTCTGCAGGACTTTAAGCTCTGTTCAATGGGAACAGGGCTACAGAAGCTCGGGTCTGGTCCCCAGCTATTATTCGGTGCTCTCTGAACTGCACCTCAGAAGCTCAACCTGTTAAGATATGTACCGTCCGAGTACTTGTGGGGTTCTTTTTGTCTTGTTTCTTGTTTCCGTGTGTTTTCTTGGCCTGCTGCTTTTCCAAGGGCTGGCCGTGTTCACTCTGTCTTCTCTTTTGCAGATGATGGTGGTGGATGGTGAATCTGGCTCCATGGTTTGGAGTTACAGTGTTCCGTGTCACATGAAAGAAACGCCAGCCACTTCAGCAGTTACCTCAGACCAGAAGTCTGTCTTCCTCTTCTGGGCGGAGGGGCTGTCAGCTGCATCTCCCAACTCCGTGAGTGAGCCGGGGCGGGTCCCCTTTTCACTTTGTCAGACGGCAGCTGCTCCGCAGGGCTGCCTGGGTCTGGAGACGTTGTGTGGCCAGTCACCTTCTGAGAGGTAGGGGGTAGAAACAAATCCACGCTCAGCAGGGAACAGCAGGGACCTTGTTTCCACCTGAGTCCGCTTCCCTGCCTTTGCCTTTCAGCCAAGAACGTGAACCCCGACAGCAGCCCCTCGCCACTGGCTCCCGGCAGTGGGAGGCTGAATGAAAAATAAAAAGTCTTCTCAAGATACTAGATCCAGATTTACAGATAATTCATATGTGCTGTAGTTGTTCAAGAAATCACTTTGAGTGATGTGGAGTGAGCAGAGAGGGCTTCGTGGAGGGGTGAGGCTGGGCTTTGAGGTGCAGATGCCGAGAATGCGGGACAGGTGGGGAGGGGTGGCCAGCAGTCGGAGAGGGGCGTTGGTCAGGCAAAACCTGAGAGGTCCAGCAGGGAGATTATGGGAGAGAAGGTCTGACACGTAGAAGGCAGATTTTAGGAAGTCTTAAATGTCATACTGCGATATTTTAATAGGGTTGATGAGGCAAGGTGCCTAGTAGGTGCCTGGGAGTTGTTAGTAAGACCCTCCCTGACTTAGTTCAGCATCTTGACTGAGCACCTGCTGTGTGCCAGGCACTGTGATCTCCACAGCGATCTAAGGATGAACTGGACGTAGTCCTGGCCCTCTAGAGAAGGCAGATGGTCCACGGTGTTGGGCGACCTGATGGAAGCAGAGTCCCGAATACACCAACCAGGCGCTCGGGATGAGTTACTCAACTTCTCTGAGCCTCGTGTTCTGTATCCATAATAAAGATGCTAATATAGTTCCTCATTTTGAGGATCAGATTTGCCTGAAATCTAGATTATCGTGCCAACTCTGCCGTGCCTTAACATGTGGCCATGAGCAGTTTACCTAACATTTTAACTTCCCGAGGGCATTGGGCCAGGTCACTCTCACATGTAAGCTTCTATAAATAACTGCAAAGCAAAGGCATGTTACAAATGCTCTAATAGAGTTACAAATACAGAGTTTAGATGGAAGTGCAAAAGGAGGGAGATACTAATTTTGCCTGGGGCAATAAGGGAGCTTTTCTTGAAAGAGAGGGGAAGTGTTTTAATGTGCCGAGATGTGGTAGAGAGGATGGTCAGACAGTCTGGGTGGGAGGGGGAATAATAAGATTGACAATGGTTAGAGCAAAGTGAAGCACGTGTTCGGGGCGATAATGAGACATTTGCACAGCGTGGGTGGGCAGGTAAATCATTGGAGTTTAAATCTGGAAAAGGCAGAGTTTGGTTAAACGGTACAAGACTTTGGTTTTCCTGCTAAAGAATTTGGGCTTCATTCTGTAGGCAGTGAGGAAGGCGTTTGGTATCTTCTTGTCGTGTTAGCTGAGCCTGAGATCTGTCCCTTCATCCCTGGGACCCCAAGGGTATGTGGACAGTGCCCTCTTCTGCTTTGTGGCCATGTAGTGGGAGTGAGGCTGCAAGTGTCCTGCCTGAGCTCCTCACGTAGGGGACTGCATCTTCCCATGCCGAGAATACGGGAGCAGGTGATACGCCTCCCTCAGGCCTTCCCTCGCCTCCGCCAGGGGAGGAGAGGTACTTGGGGAGCCCAGTGAAGCAGCCCTTTACTAACCCACATGGGAGCATTTCTGCGCTTTAACAACTGTGTGGCTGCACACGCGTGTACCTGCCAAGCCTCACAGCTCCACCCTGCGCAGCAGTTGTACTGATAAAGATGGTCCCAATGTGCCCTTTATCTGCCGTAGAGAGGAGACCGACACTCAGGCCTTGGAATTTTTGTTGATTTGTTGATTGATGCTGTGCGTCTGTCTGGTCAATGTTCTGTTCATGTCAGGGACTGATAAGATTTTTGTAATTTTTAGCCTGATACTTGCCATTGGCTTTGATATCCAATGAAAGCAAGTGTCTTTGACTTGCTATGTTTTCATAGATAGATTTCATCTCCACAAAGCCCCATCTGCCACAAGGGATGAACCAGTATTCCATTACCTCCATGGACAGAAGGCTGGGAAGTCAAGTCTCTATATCAGATTCCTTTCTTAGGGGATGCACATTTCCTTTTTTTTTTATTCTTATAAGGGAGAAAGCATTTTATAGTTATAGATAGTGGTTTGAAGGAGTTAGTGATTGGTTGGTGTTTTGAGCTCTGTGAAATAATATGTCTCTTGCATATGGGAGTTTCTTTCAAACACATCCTTGTAGTTGGGAGCAGGTATCGGCATCTCTCCTCTGCCTTTCATCTAAGCAACATCACACATGGGAATGTAGTCACCTTTGTCTTCCTTTTTTTGGCTCATTGTCAGGATGCTGTCCTAGGCACGGAGCCATCCAGCCTTTACCATCTGTACCTCCTGCATCCAGCCTTCCCCTCCATGCTCCTGGATCTGGCCAACACCACGGGCACAGTGACGGCTTCACAGGGTGAGTCCAGTGCTGGTGGGAGGCTGTGTACCCAGACTGGGGCAGAGCGTGTGCTGGCTGTGCGTGAAGAGACCATTGCCCCACCTAGGGAAGGATGTGTGCTTCTCAAATGACAGCAGGGGCATTTTCCCTGGTGGCCCTGTGCCTAGGGGCACTGCTGCAATGCTCCTCCTGGCTGGGAGCACCAGGCTCGCGGCGTGAGAACCCATGTGTTCCGCGTGTGCTGCGGGCTGAGGCGAAAGTGCATTTCCCATTGCAGAAGGGTTCTACGGTGATGACTTGGGCAGCCACTCATTCAGCACACATTTATTGAGCATCAGCTGTATGCCAAGCGCTGCACCACATGCTGGGAATACAAACAACACTAGTTTCTTGGTGCTCTGGGAGCTTAGGATTTGAAATTAGCTGTCGGGATATGCTGGAGGTAGGAAATGTTTTGTCAGGGTGTTTAGTGGAGACTTTTTTTGAATAGTGAATACACACACTGCACAGAAATCGGAGGAAGGAGAAAAATCAAAGGAAAAAAGTTGCCCATAATCTGACTGCTTATAACCACTGTTGACATTTTGTTTTTTTTTGAGACAGAGTCTCGCTTTTGTTGCCCGGGCTGGAGTGAGTGCTGTAGCGTCAGCCTAGCTCACAGCAACCTCAGACTCCTGGGCTCAAGCGATCCTCCTGCCTCAGCCTCCCAAGTCACTGTTGACATTTTGGAAGTGTTCTTCCACTTTATATGTCTGTCTAAATAATACTGTAGAGCAAAATGCGATCAGATATTGGAGCCCTTAATTCAGGAAACCCAGGCCCTGGAGACTCAGCCTCTGCTGCCTGCTAGTCTGGATTGTCTGTTGATCTCCTCCTCAGAGATTTCTTGCATTCTAATCTGCTGTTCCTGTTAGGTCGGGGAGTGGGGGAAGACCGGACTGGCCAGGTCTCCTCTCTTTATTTCTTTCCACATTCTCTTGCCACTTAGGGACTTGGCTGTCTACTCACGAACTCATTTGCCTTGGGTTGCAGCTAGTGTTGTGGCTCTCGATTTACTGGGAAGAATAGCCCATCCGGAACTGGCAGGTGCACCTGTCCACTGGCTGGGGAGTGGGTTGAGGGGGGGTGTCAGCTTGCAAAATCCTGTGACAGGATCTAGGTGAGCTCTTTTTCAATATTAGCATAAAATATTAGTCAGTGAACATCAAATAATGGCAATTAAGTATCTTGAGACCATTTTTATTACAACTTCTATTTTGAAGATGAGGCAGAATAAACACTGGTGAGGCAAATAGCTTACGTGACCTCACACTGACAATCTAGGAATTCTTAGGCTTCCGACTTTGTTGGGCTCACGTAACTACCGAATTCCTGCCATAGTGGGCACATTCTCTCATTTTCTGAGTTGGGGCTTTTTTGGAAATAGCTTCAAGGGAGAAAGGTATGGAGACCAGGAAGGACGCACTGTGTTGCCGGCATCAGGTCCCTCAGCTCCCTGCACTGCTGTCACTGCCTTGTTTATTAGGTGCATTTCTTGTGCGAACCAGTGAGTAAATGAATGAATGTGTCGCTGAACCAAACCCCTCTCTCGTTGCTAATAAAAGGCACGTGTCCTTGTTAACTGCTCTTGTTTTTGTCCTTCCTCAGTTGGAATTAACGACCTCTGGAAAGATGCCTTTTATGTTACCAGGACAACAGGACCAAGCTCCGAAGGCCATCCAGCAACCCTGGTGGTCAGCAAGCTTAGTCTGCGGTGGGCACTGATGGAGGGCCAGGTGGCCCAGCTACGGGAGACCACCCCCAAAATTGGCCGTGGGGAGTTGCGGAGATTCCTCTCTAGGATAAAGTTTGTTGATGCTCCCTGTGAGGTGAATAGCTTCTGGAATATTTGGTTACTCTCGAGGGTTTAGGCCAAATACTTCCAACTCCAGCAGTGTCCTTTATAAAGCAGGGAGAGTGGGGAGCTTTCCCGAGTGGAGGAGGAATATCCAGAACTAATTGTTTTGGACCAGCACTGTTTCCCAAGGGTGCTTTGTGACCATGAAGAAATGGTTTGCGGTTCATTGTTTTCAGCTGGAAATTGTACCATCTCCCTCAGGGGACATTTTTATTGTCTGGGCAGGGGCAGAGGGTGGTGGAGACTACTGGTATTTTCTGCTGGTATTGGAGCTGAAATGCTAACGTCATGCAGGGCTTGTAGCAGTTACGTACTGTGAAGAATTATCTTGCTCGAAATGCTGATGTCCCCACACACACACCCCCCTGAGAAATACTTCGATCTAGTTCATAGTTCAGGAGCTTATCATGGAAAAGGACAAAGTCTCCGGGCCTTTCTAGGGGGAGGAGATACTTACAAACCATTGGGGCTGAAGGACAGGAAAATAGAGGAATATGCTGACTCCTTTGGGTGTTCTCTGTTTCTTTGAAAACCTTTACCATGACAAAAAAATTAATGTCACTGATACTTCTACCTTTCCCACAGATCTAGTCTGATGGAATCTTCAGTTTCAGAAGATGTGAACAGAATGGAGACCCTCTCTCTCCTGTCGGTGTATAATCAGTTCTCTGGAGAGAAGGAAGAGTGTTCTAGCCTCATGTTACCACCTCCACCCGACTGTTGCAGAGCACTTTGGAGTTCTTTGATAACAGCATGATCCATTCGGCTGGGCATCTTACCTACTACCTTGTCAATCCCCGCATTAACTCCCTCTAGGAACCGTGTATGGATAGTTTGGAAATGTGAATCTTATAAGTGTTTTATTTTTTTGTGTGTCTAATTTATAAACTCTTGCTGGGAAATCCAGTGAAGTCTACGAGTAGGAAACCTCTTGTTTTGCATTATGCCATGTTTGTGTGTTTTTTGTGTCGTGGTGAAGTTATTTTTCAGATATGTCCTAAGCTTCAGGGATCCCATTTCTTATCCTTCTGAAATGTATCTGGTTTGTTTGGCCATCTTGAGACTTCCAGGTGCCCTACCTCTGATCTCGAGGGCCACTCCTCATTTCTCTCCGGGTTCTCTCCCCCTCTGTGCTTTGGCTGCTTCCCAGCTGTAGACACCAGTGAGACATTGGCAGCTGAAGACTGAGTTAGGCATCCCAGCATTTTCATCTCTTCCTTAAGTATCCTGTTTCCTCAGACTTTGTACCTGTATCCATTTAGTGGTCACAAGAGTAACCATATTCCTATCGCAAGGCTAGCGAGAGAAACAGTTTCAGTGACTCATCTCTGACCACTTGCATCTGTTATATGTGGCTTGGATGGTTCTGCCAGTCGTGATCTTCCTCCGCGGTGGCGCAGAAGCGTGTGCGCGCATGCCGTCTTCACCCGAGAGGGGAACTGGACGTCAGGGAGCTTTGAGGCTGCTGCCTTCCCTGGCTTCCTCTCTCCCCTGCTTTCTTTGCATCTTTTTCTATGGGGCATCCTCTCACCTCCTCTCCCTTGCTTTCTCTTCTATTCAGGGATATGTTTCCGGACTTCTGCTTTTGCTGCTTGAGTCCAGTATGCAGCCACTTTGCCCTGTACTTGTTCCTTGTAGAGCCTTTGGAGCATTGTATTTTGAGAAAATTCTTATGTAAATACTATGACTTTTGTAAATGGTTAAGTTCTTTAGAATTATCTCCAGTGCTTACTTTCCCCTTCTCCTGTATAAATCTGTTACTTCTGTTACATTCTCAGCTAAACTTCTAGGTCATTATTTATATAGCTAAAAATCTTATGTTAGCTGAGAGAGAACTACTTTCTTCTTGAATAATTTTGATAGGTCATCCTTGAGTGCAACTCAAGCTCTGTCTTTACTTGGCTTGTATCTGTTTAGCTTGTGTTAATAAAGGGATTCTAGAAAATGATGGATTCCAAATTTAAAGAGAAATCTATTAATCACCCACTGGCAGGCTTTATGACGTAACAGGAGGTTGGTAGCAACAGATCCAAGCAGGCATGTTGTCTGGCCTGCAGACTGGCCTTGCCAGGTTTCTGGGTACCTCTGCCTTAAGACCCTGAAAGCAAATTTGGTTTCAACACTTTGGAAGTTGTATGTGGGTCCAGCTTGACTTTGGGGGGATAATTCACAGGATACCCCAGAGTATGGGAATGATTCCAGATTCATTTCTAGGGTTTGAATCTAATTGGCTATAAGGGCCTAGGATCTAGTTTGGTTTAGGATAGAATTCTAAGGATTAACTTATAGTCTACTGAACACCCAAAACTTGGGTGCTGGTCCTGTGGCCTGGCTGAGCCGTCCAGGCATAACCTGGTTCTCTACTGTGTTGAGACTTTCTGGGAAGCCAGCCATTCTAGGCATGAGTGAAATGCAAGGTTGTTTACTGAGGACCTGTTTTGGTGGGATTGTTTTGGCAGAGGACTCTGTTTATGCAGGGTGAATCCTAGAAAAAGAAAAGCGAAAGCTAGAAGAAACAATGTCCCTGAATTCTTCATGATGTATTTGCAAACTAACTTAACATAGATTCTTTCGACTGTGAGACGTTTGAATCTCTCCTTGCTAAACACATTGTAAGCTCTAGGTTTCTTCCTCCTCCTGCAGCCAGTATAGAAGGGTATAAATGGTGGCTGGAGACTGAGGAAGCTTCATTTGACCAACGTGGGTGCTAGTCTCTTGTCAAATGTGTCTTTAAGCTTCCTTATTTTGCAGGCAGCCACCCACCCAGACAGCCAAGCTAGGAAGTACTCCTTTCTTTCTCTGAGCCCAACATAGGTTGCCAGCAAAGCCAATATGACCACTACTTAGAATTAGTAACGACTTCTGCAAAGGCAAAGGGTCTTTCCCTCCTCCCAGTCTCTTTCCTTCCTTTAAAAACCCTCCCTTCTACCCTAGACAACATCCTTGCCACCCCCAAATGTGTGGTGTGATGATACTAACCCCTATGAATGTGAATTGCTATCCTTATTGCCCTTATTAAAGAGGAGCCAGCTGGTAATATTGTCAGGAAGTACTATTTAAAATGTGAACTGTTACAGAATAAATAAATACTATGTACAGGAATATACTTGTGTGCTGTTCTCCTTGGCCATCAAGGATGGTTAGTTTTCCCTCATGGAAAAGAGAAAGGGCAAGTGGATGGTATCTTTATGGAGGAAATAATAGGGATAAAAAGGTGGGGGCCCAGAGTGGAGCCTGTGCCCTCACTGTGTTCACTGGGGAAGTCCCCTAGGATTCCGCACTGGGGGACCACAGTCCCACCTGATAGCCTCAGTGGGCCATTTCTAGAAGTGAACCTGACCCCATGTGCTGTAGGAGCCTTCTCATGTTATTCCACTCTCCTAACAGCTCAAGGATCACGTTTAGCAACACTTTCCTTGGCTGCCTACCGTGTGGATGCAGGACACTGTCATAGGCAGTGCGGAGGATGTCTGTGCTATGTGTCAAAGCACTCAGTGATGCTTCCCTCTTCCAGGCTGTGACTTCCAGAAAAACTCAGGTGCACCATGAAAAGTTGAGCCCCAATCAAACTACCATGAATTTTCTGTCCTGCCTTTCTCCAGTTTCCAGGCAGATACACCAGCTCTATAAGACCCTTACAGGCAGGAACTGTGTTTTACTCCTCTTTTTATCTCCACTGTTTAGCCCAGAACCTGGCACAGAAGTGATCAGTACAGAAGAGAAGGGAATTCTGTATGCACGAGGTTGGGACGGGCAGGACACGGAGCTGTAGAGGAAAAGGGTGCCTCTTTGGACTTGTACTTTAAAAATGTACCCTTATTCATAACCTCCAAAAACCATGCTCAGAAGACGAACTTTGGCTTAAGCACGTGTTGTTGATAACAGACAAGTAAGGTAGGGCTCAGCCTGCTCTCTAAACCCACTTAATTCCTAACACTGCTCCTCCTCCACAGATGATGACCTAACCACTTCTTCCAGCTCCTGGCCAGGGCCTCGTCGGAATCCCTTGTTCTGTAGCTCTGAGTAGAAGTCAACTCCTTCAGAGACGGAGCGGACGGGCTGATTGTGGTACCGGTGGTAGCTGGTCGAAGGACCTGCCGGGCGTGCGGCACACGACAGCTGCTGGAGGAAACACTGGTGGTGATGTGGCAGGCAGGTCGGGTTTCCTCTGAAGCTCTTACTGTGCTTGCACTTGAACTCCAGCACCAGCCTGGTGTACGTGTTGAAGGTGGTGACAGCCGATGCCATGCAGCAGGTAAAGGAAACCCAGGCCGTGCTAGGGACAAATGTGCAAGAAAATTAGTAAGAATTCAACTTTCTTGAAAGAAAAATGCCCTGATCTCTTCCTACTAGTAGCCTAGACTAATGCCTCTTAGGTATTTAGGGATCTGAGTGTGCTAACTTCTGCCATGTTCTAGGTAAAGCACTATGGGGGCAAGAGAGCTTAATTCGGTCAGTCTTAGTTGGGCATGTTTTGGATGTTTTGGAGTAAAAGAGAATGACTCGTGTAGTACTAAAATCAGACAAGCTTAATGAACGTATTTTCACTAAATTAATTAGTCATCCGTGCCATGCTCTTTTATTCCTGGTGTGCCTATTTTATGTGTGTGTGTATGTGTGTATATTTGGACACCTGTTTCCAAAGCTGCTGCTACCCTTGTAAAATCTCCAAGATGCCACAGACTTGTAGCTCAGCTGTATGCAGTGGACATAGACTAATGCATGCCCTCTCTTTCCCATCCCAACACACACACACACTCTGCCACAGATTTCCTGCCACTCAGATGCCCGGAGGAATCATCTCTCTCCACCTTCCTTTGTTTTGAACTTAGCAGTCTTAGAGTCCACAAGTTGAGTGAGAGAGTCATTCAGGAAAACATCTACTATAAATCTGGAGGTATAGGTTGCACTAGTGGACTTTGCTTCGTATGAAAACAGTGTGGTTCTTGGCTGAAGGGAATTCACAATGGATGGGAGAGAAGCTGGAGATTAAGAGAAGCTGGATGGATTCCAGAAAGAAAAAAAGACACCAGGGAACTGTATCAAACACATTCCTCAAAATTTGGAAAGTCAAACCCCTAAATCTCCCCATGGTTCTGGGAAGCTCAGGAAACAGGAAGTCGTGTGAGGTTAGGGAGGGATTTCATGAGGCCAAGTGACGGTTGACGCCAGGCCACACGGTGGCACTGTCTGTTCCTATCTGCTGCCTCTGACAGACTAAGTAGGTTCAGGCTGGGATGCTTCGGGTGGGGGTCGCCTGAGCCCTGCAGTTGTAATGCCAAGAACGGCCTAAAGAGAGACAAAAGGTGAGAAGCGGTGGGCCTGGGAAATGCACTGAGCGGATGCAGTGGCTCGTGGACTAAAGACTCCGAATCAACGTCGTGTCCCACGAGAAAGGGGAGAGGGTCTCGTAACACACAGGGGCAGGTTTCCATATTGCCTTCTTAGAATGGAAACTTGAGCCAGCACTGTGTCTTTGCAGTGCTCTTAACTAAGCACTCATCCCGGACAGTTGATGTCAGTACAAGTTGGCAACTTCACTCCGAATAAAGAGTGCTCCTCAAGGGGGAGAGTTAAGGAGCTCTTAACCGAAGGGAACATTTAGCTTGAGTGTGTTTGCTTTGTCACAATTGCTGCGTCTCTCTTTTTAAGAGACATCTAAAACAACTGACCCCTTAGTTCTTTAAGGAGTAGAGAAGGGCTGTGGTAGGGAAGTTTCATTTCTAACACAGTTTGGTAGAATAAGAATGGAGGTAAGAGGAAGAAGTTACTCTTCACTACAGGAGAAGAGTGAGCCAGCTGTTCACTGGGAATGGAATTCAATCCAATCCAAATTTCAAGACTAATTCTCCATTTCTCTGTCCTCCAATACCTTGAATCATAAAATTCAAAAAAAAGCATCATTTCCATAAGCCACACAAAATCAGTCTCATTTCCCAAGGGCAATGTACATATCAGGTGAAGAAGCCATTGCCACAGCTGACCAGCAGGGAAACCAGACAAGACAGCATCCTCCCCAAACAGACCAGAGGAATCCTCTGTGTACCTCCGCAGAGGCAGGGAAAGAACAGATGTGTCCCGATGACCCAGCCCTGTGTTTGGCTGACAGACTCCCGGGATGAGGGATGAGGAGGAGGCAGGAGGACAGAGCAAGCCTCTGGTCAGGGTGGAAAACCTAATGAAGGCTGGCTGGGCAAGGGGCCAGAAAGGTTCAGGAGGTAACGAGCACTTACTAGAAGGCCCAGCCATAGTTCCAAGCATGTGGTCTCCAGTCTTCTGGACCCAAGTTGACAGTTGCCTGGAAGACTTGTGAGTACATCATATGGGCCACCATCCCCAGAATACCTATGGAGGGAACAGGAAGGCAAAGCCCTTGGAGAAAGGCTGTCCCGCCTTCTACCAGGAATCTCGTTTTTTTGGAGCAGGCTCATCATTTGGCGTCAGGTGCAGCCTATGTTGGGGCGTCCGGTACCCCCACATTTTCCAGAAAACTAACCTGCAATCTGCTAATCTGCTAATCTACTAATCTGCTTTTTCTTGACTGTTTGTCTCTGCAGTGGGTTACCCTAGACCTCAGGCCGAGAGCCATGGAAAAGCCTCCAGCTCCATGCTGCACCCAGGGTGCTGTGCCCCTTTGTTTATGCCCCCACACTCCCAGCGTTGGCTTAACTCTTCATCTTATAGATATATCTCTTCCTCTACCAACAGAAACCACTCTCGAAAAGCTGTGTGAATGTCACAACTAAAAAGTAAACCAAATAATAGATTTTACTTATTGAGAAAACTTGCAAATAAAGGAACCTAGAGGTATTTTGTAAAGTACATAATGATCCAATACACAATTTCATATGTTATTTCAATTTAAAATTAAAGGTGCCTGTAATGTTTCTCCTACCTCCATCCTTTATGCCACCTTTGGGCTCCTCTTTCCTCCAGCTAGTGCTCCCAGGGTGGCTGAGGACCCCTCCCTCTCCCCCTTTGCAGTCACTCACCCGACAGGACAGAGGACACGGCAGCAAAGGCGCTTAGCTTGAGTCCACGGCCCGGGTTCCCCGAGAGCAGGAGGTCGGTCAATAGCAGGAGGAAACTTACGAATTGAAGTCCGATGTAGGTGATCTGGGCTCCCAGTGACAGCCACAGTATTTCTGTAGAAGCCAGAGGAAGAAGGAACTCTCACCCTGATAGTTACATAACTGGACAAGTGAACATTCGATGCCTGTTAAGAGTTAAAAGCCTAGCAGCAGCCGAGAAAGGGAAAACGAGGCAAAGCTGAAACCAGTTGGGAACATCACTTCATTTCTGGTCCTTTGACGTCACCCACAGCTCCAACTCTGCACCCAACACATAATCAAATACACTTGCCTGACTGTAAGTATTAATACTGTTAGGGAGATTTGAGAAGAAATCATCTAATTTTCATAAATCCTATAGGGATGTAACTATCATTAATTATCATTTTTGTCTCTTTTTCCTTATTTAATTTTGGGACAATTTTGTTTCTTTTCTCCTTCTTCTCTCTTTCACTTCCTCCATTTTACAGAAAAAAAAAAGTGGAGAAAAGGGAGGAAAAAACCTAAGCTTTTCAACATGGTTCCTTGGCAACAGGAGTAGGGTAGAGCTGTTGGTGGTTGCTATTTGTGAGCCTCATTTATCCCTGCTGCTCCTAGTTTGCATTCCAGCATACGAATGAAAGTCAGCTCTAGCAGGAATCCGTGTCACCCAGGGGGCTCAGAAGAGGAGAAAAGCAGGAGATCACAGGGCAGCGTAGATCCCAAGAGACAGAGCCCCAACTCAAGGTAACTGCTGTGAATTTGTATCGGACACATACTTGCCACAAGCCCCAAGGGAGGGTGGGAGAGGAGAGCCTTCTCCATCAACCGCTTCCCTCCAGATCGGAGAGCGGGGTGACATAGGCCTTGCACCGTGGCAAATTCCAGTAGTCCTTTCTCACCTCTCTCGGTGGGTGGTGTGAGTTCAATGAAGCTTCGACACCTCTCCCCTGAAACAAACAAGGTAAAACCTCCCGGAGCCTCGTCCTCAGACTGCTGGCGGGAAAGCCCTTCCCACCCCTGCCCTGAGTGTGGCAGGCGTTCAGTCCGTGTCCCTGTTTGACAGCAGGAAAGAATACATGGGTGAGTGGATGGCACAGGTGACAGTCAGCCCAGGTTGATTGTTCTCTTTGGTTTCTGATGAAGAAGGTGTTTCCCTGAGAGTGCTCGCACAGGTTGATGTTCCCATCTCCCGTGTCCAGGAGAGTTAGTGATCTTAGTTTAAATAATACCTTTTGGTGCCGCCGTAACACTGGACCGAATGGCTCTAAATTGTTTCCAGGACTGGGGATGGAGCAGTGCTAAGTGGCACAATAGTAAGTATAAATGTAAATACACACACGGTTTTATTCCTCGTCCAAATGCCTTTTTGCCCAAGTCTGGAGAAGTCGCAGAAAAGGGCATTAGAAAAACCTCACTACCAGGTGATCTCTTCCCAGGCCTCAAGGTGACCTTGCAGCGCTCTGAGCAGGGAGGAAGAGTGTCCTCAGCACCTGCTTTGCTAGTGTGACACTGAGTGGCAGGAGACCTGGGAGGGCGTGCCTTCAGCTCCTCGAGGGGCCTTCTGTGATCTGTTATCATCACCCTCTCTGGCTTTACTTGCTGCGCTTTTAAATGCAATGATAATCTTTAGAGCCAGAAAATACTCTGGGGCAGGGCGGGGTAAAGGAGAGGCGGAAAGGATGATCTGTGATCCTTCCCTCTCGCAAATGGGAAAATCAAGGCCTATAGGAATGAAGTTATTCATACAAGGTCACAGTCGAGCAGAGCTGGGACTTTTTCTACAGCATTCCTCTCTCCTTGTTTTGTTTCTAAACAGCCATTCTAGCTCACTAGACTGGAAATTCTCCTACTGTGAAAGGTCTCAATGAAACTTTTAAGGTTAATGCTATTTTAAACATGCTATTTTAAACCAACTAGTCTACTAAAGAGGGAGGAGGTGAAAAGCTAGAAGGACTTCTGACCTTATTAAAAGTGGACCCCTCTGGAGAAGGGACGCAGAGAGAGGTGGAAGGTGCGGAGCTGGCAGGAGGGGGCATTGCTGCACTTCCCAAGGCTTCCTTGCCCGCATAAGATCCCTCCCCCGCAATCCCCCACCCCCCATCCTCCACCCTCAAAAATCAGGCAGGTGCGGGGAGGAGGCTACCTGGTTCTTCCACGGTTTCCTCACAGGATAGCCACATGCCACTTCGGAAGGTAAGGAAGGAGAAACGGTCATCTCCGGCCTCCCAGTTGTAGTGCACCACCTCCTGGGTTGATGCATTGGTGAGGTCCCCATCCAAGGACATCGGCATGTCAAAGCACTTGGCTGCCAGACTTTTCTTGCACAGGGGCTTGGGCACCTTCTGTGTGCCCACAAACCAGGAGTTGCTGAGCAGGGATACTGTGGAGAGGCTGAGTGATAGCAGGCTGAGGAGGGCAGATAGGAGTGTCCGTTGGCCAGAGCAGCCCTTTGGGAGCTCCATCTGAAACAGACAGACACAGTGGGGGAAGGGAGCTCAGGTCACACCAACACTGACAGGCACGACCAGCCTCTGAGTCTCCTCCAGGGGCCATGGGGAAGCGTGGCTTCAGGAAGGCCGGGAGCAAGAACCTATAGGGTCTCAGAAAACAGTACCCCAAAATGAACGCCCCAGAAGCAGCTCTCTCTGACCGCCTCCTACCGTCCGGTCTCTGGCCCTTCACTATCCACAAAGCTAGCCATAGAAACTAGAATTCCTCTTCTCCAAGGCAGGTCATAGAAACCAGAATTCCTTTTCCCCAAAGCCAGCCACAAAACCTAAAAATACCACTCTAACTTTCCTCCCTCCTTTCTGTGTAAAAACTGGCCATAAAGACATTATCCAACCCACCTTGTTTGTAGGCCATAAGACCCCCGTTCTATAGAGGGTCCTGCCCCACACCCTGAAGGAAGAAACGCTGTACAAAGAGGCCAAGAAGAATCCAGACAGACCTTGCTGGGTTTCCCCACTCGGTCTATTAGCACTAGAGCCTACCCTTTTTGTCCAATCATATTTCTACATGGCTATTTATACTTAGTGGAACCTAAGCATAAGAATGGACAGTTTCCCCTGTATCTTTGGGTCTTCATTCCGAAGGTTCCCGTGTCATGTAAAACTAAGACCAGATAAATTTGTATGTCTTTTCTCCTATTAATCTGCCTCTTGTCAGTGACTTTCAGTGAACCTTCAGAGGACGAAAGGGAAGTCTTCCCTTGGTCTGTGCACACCCATAGCAATGATGCTTATTCGAGTTGGGCCTTGTGCCTTTCCTACATAAAAAAAGTGGTGATTTTCTTAGATTGCATAATGACAGGGACTGGACTCTGGGCATGTTACACAATAATACACAGAAGTAGGAATAAAGGTGGCCCACCAGATAAAACAAATTACAATGAGGGGCGCAGAAGTCAGAATGAACTGGATGTGACCATACAGAAATCTTTCATTTCTGTCTCAAAAGGTGAGAATGGTGTCTACATGGCCTCCAGCTGCAATCCCTAGGGCGGTGTGTACGTGTCCCTTTGTGGAAGATGCCGTAATGACCCCACCGACAGCACCTGCTCCAAGCAGCGGCGATGGGTTTCCTGGCAGCTACTCACTGGCACCTTGGACCGACAGGGATTGAGCAAGAGCGTGTGAGGGTGAATCACGGCAAACCCTTCACGGGAAGAGAGGCTTGGAAGGGCCTCAGTCACTCTCAGTGTGAACTTTCTCGATGGTGCACTTTTCACACGTATTTGTGGTCATGTCTTACTTCCCCTCTAAGACTTCAAACTGCCATTAGGTAGCAAATGTGTCTCTGTCACTTTTGTCTTTCCCACAGTGTCTAGCATGGTATTTTGCACATTACACATTCAGTACTAAACCGCTTATTACATCAAGGATGGTCCAAGTAAACATCAGATAGCAGTAACCTCAGTCGGAATGTGGTTAAGCCACCGGGGCTATTAGACACAAGGTTTAGGAGAAGAATTGGGAGCACTCCAAATGCTTTGGTGGTAATTGTTTTTGGTTTCGTCTTCTTTGAAGGGTAGTAGCACTGACTTGCTGAGGTATTTGCTATTGTAACAAAGAGAGTTATTGGTGGCCTGGTCCCTGCATTATAGATTCCTCTGAAAGGTATCCAGGGGCTGGGGCCATCGAATGAATGTCAAACTGGAAATGAAGCCCCAATGGAAGCTCCGGGGCCTTGAGGATGAAAGAGGGCAGTGAACCTACTGGGACGTGGGGCAAGCAGAAACCCTAGGGAGGAGATGGGACATATGGTTCTGGGAGAGGCAGTGACCGGGGCCCTGCTTTGCTCCACTGCCACCAAGATGACGATCTCACAAGGGAGGTGGCCGCGTGGTGCCTGTGGGGGCTGGACACCAAGATCACGGCCATGGAGCCATGGGAGGGTGCCCCCGGCCAAGCCCTTGGTCAGTAGGGAGGGACCTGGAGGGCCCCTCTCAGTGTGATGCTGTGGCAGTGTCTGACTCACGGCAGGGACACAACCAGTGGCAGCAGAAAGAACCATGGCCCACGTGGCTCTTGTAGCAGCCACCACTCTCCTTGTCATCTTCAACCTAAGAGAAGAGGAGGGCGCCCTAAAAAATGACCAGTGTTAGAGATGCCAACTTTGTTGAGTGGTGGCTTGGAACCAGATTTAATTTGATTTAGATAAATAAGGAAATTGGATGGCTGGTGCGCTTTGGGTTACACAGCAGTCTATACACTCTATTATTACTGTTAGATTAACACAGACTGAACAGAGAAGAAATCCATGCTTAGCTGCTGACAGATGCTTCTTAAAGTTAACCTTCTGGAGCTTTCCAGGCGATCCCTCATATCAGAATTAATCAGACCTAAATCTACTTAGCTTAAGAGTCATAAATAAAACCACAGCTAAGTGGACAGGCCCATAAATCTGCCTTTCCTATCACCCCCAGCTTAACAGTTTCTACATTTAACAGAGAACTTTATCTTAGAAATATAACAGTTTTTCTTTAGAATTTCCAGGGACTAAAACAGTGTATACCACAGATGAAGTACATATTATTTATGGCAGTAAGAAATACATAAATTTCAAATGTACATAAAAACTAATACACAAAACAGATGAAAAAACAGCTTCTGGAAAGCAATCTGCTAAAACGATTTTTTTCTTTTTAAAGCACTCAACAAATTAACTCCACTAAGAATTTAAGGTTTTAGTCATTGTTGTGTTACTAGGGGTTATCCTTTTCAATTATTCTTCTATTCATTGCTCTAATGGGAAATGGAATTCCAGGCAGACCATCTTCACATCTATAATCATTCTCTATAAAGACTGAACTAAAGATGTAGGCAATTCTAAATTTTGTAACCTTAGGGTTCAACAGCTATTTTCAACCTCATTTGGTTTGGAAATTTGTCTGCTATAAAATCACCTCAGAGTTTAAGTCTACACCAATCCATTTCAAGTTACACATATTTGTAAGTTATTCTCCAGCTTACTCAGAGATAAGAAAGAATAATGAACCCCACACCAAGGTACAGACACCTGTGGCACCCAAGGTGACAATGAATTTAAGGAAAAGGTGATTCGAGAAACAAAGGATGAAAAATAGCTTGGACTAAAGCTCAGAGAGGTTCCTTCCAGAAGGAGTGTCTACCAGGGACAGGCACAAGGAGCCCTACATTCAAGAATTATCTTCATGATAACCGAATGATAATCTCACTTACGAGCCCTTTCAAGAATCATCTTCGACACCTATAGGGCCATGTCCTTCATCCCATATTTCATTCATTTCCCAAAACATGCTTTTTCTCTCTAGGATCCAGATACCTCCTGAATTAGAAGAGCAAATCTAATTTTGCAATGGTTTCCTCAAAGTGGTCTTGAAGAAGTAATGGCCGTAAGAAAGGCTATATCTTTGTGAATGCTGACAGATGCCATGCCAAGGCGACCCCTTCCTCTCTAGAAAAGGGACAGAGTGGTTGCTCTGACACTCAGGGGCTTAGATCCTCAGGAAGTGCGTAGGTGCCAATATTGTCAGCAAGCCTTCCAACAACATATATTAACAGAAAAACTCAGAATTAGCATAGGTTAGTAAGGACAACAAATTGATGAGAACATGCCTCTGAAAAGAACCAAGTGCAAGCAGCTGTGAAATCTATCTCCTGACCAACAAGAGGGGAAGCTAGTTACCTTGGCCATGGTCAGCATCTTGCAGCTTGTCTGGAAGGACTGGAGGATGGCATCTGTGCTCCAAGTCCCCTCGGTTTAGTGTCGAGAGGATGAAATCTGCCTTCCCACCCTCCTCCTGCTCCTTCCTAGCCCTCCCCTCCTATCTCCTATTCATTGGAGTGCTCATGATTAAATGCTGCCTTACAGGGAACACGGGCATTTAATAATCGACAAGGCAATCACGGCCCAGCTGTTCTGGGAGATTACTCCAGAGAGCTTGCCAATGGGGATCTGGGATTAAGCACAAAGGAGCAAGGGCCTGCATTTGCAGGGAAA